AACCTGGATCTCCTAGTCCAGCACGCTGCAGAAGGTTCCAGTTTTGAACCTGGCACCTCCATTGAAAAGGACTGCAAGTACCAGGGCCCAGAAAGGCTTGTCCTTGAGATCCTACATTTCTTTTTTGTTTCTTTTTTCTTTTTTTATTAAATATAAAAAACAGTTAAAAATAAGAAAGCAAATCCTGGTGTTTATGCAGGGCAAACAGGGAGGTGTTGATTTTATGTGCTGCTGATGCTTCTAAGAGGGGCATCCATTTTTCTTGAGAAGAAGAAGAAGAAGAAGAGATTGGATTTATACCCCGCCCTTCACTTGGAGTCTCAGAGCGGCTTACAAACTCCTCTCCCTTCCCCTCCCCACAACAGGCACCCTGTGAGGTGGGTGGGGCTGAGAGAAATCTGACACAAACTGCTCTTTTTCAAGGACAGCTGTGCCAGAGCTTGTGACTGACCCAAGGTCACATCAGCAGGTGCAAGTGGAGGAGTGGGGAATCAAACCCGGTTCTCCCAGATTAGAGTCCGCACACTTAACCACTACACCAAACTGGCTCTCAGAGATCCTACATTTCTCATTAGCAATCTCTGGTAAATAATGCAGATTGCATTCAAAGGTTCAGGAAAATGGCCATCCACAGCTGTCCTCCAAGCTGACTCACTACCAGTCTAAAGACAATTCCCTTGATGCAAAAGATAAGCACGTTCCTCTATTTATTACATGCAATATTTTATTTATAAAAATGCTTGAGAGACAGACAAGTCACCTATTGCAGAAGCATACTGTGTTCAGTACAGCAGATCCTGGCACACAATAAACAGAAACTAGCAGTCAGAGTTACAAACCAGCTACTTTGGGGTCAGCCGGATTCCTGCGGAAAGTGTTCTTCTGTGAGTTAGCGCTGCGGAAGACAGAATAGCCAAGGCCTGCAGCGGGAGGAGAAGGATTAAGTGTGAGCAGACAGATGACTGGGCAGAGGGAATGTGATCGTGGATGTAGAGGCTACGGTGGCCCCAAGGAACACTCATCAGTAGTAAAAAGAAATCCACATTTACCCAAAAGGGAGACAAGGTGTTTTGTTTTGTTTTTCCCACATGGGCCATCACAAAAAAGGGGGTCATCTTGTATTTGCATACAGTTTACAAGTATGTACAGTTTGGAAAATGAGCTGCAGTGGCTAAAGTGGTTAAGATGCTGAACTGCAGGCTGTGGAAGATCGGCAGTTCAAGACCCGAGTGTGCCGCATGACGGAGTGCGCTCCCATCTCTAGTTCCAGCTCATGCCAACCTAGCAGTTTGAAAGCAAGAAATTGCAAGTATATAAATAGGAAGTACTTCAGTGGGAAGGTAACACCGTTCCGTGTGCCTTGGTGTTTTGTCATGCCGGTCACATGACCATGGAAACGTCTTCGGACAGTGCTGGCTCTTCGGCTTTGAAACGGAGATGAGCACCGCAACCCTAGAGTCGGATTCGACTTAGGGCTCTTAGGGCTCTTTAGCTTGGAGAAACGACGACTGAGGGGTGACATGATTGAGGTTTATAAGATTATGCATGGGAAAGAGCAGGTAGAGAAAGAGGTACTTTTCTCCCTTTCTCACAATACAAGAACTCGTGGGCACTCCATGAAATTGCTGAGTGGTCGGGTTAGAACGGATAAAAGGAAGTACTTCTTCACCCAAAGAGTGATTAGCACTTGGAATTCACTGCCACAGGAAGGGGTGGCGGCTACAAGCATGGACGGCTTCAAAAGGGAATTAGATAAGCATATGGAGCAGAGGTCCATCAGTGGCTATTAGCCACAAGGTATAGATAGGGACTCTGGGGCAAGTGATGCTCTGTCATCTTGGTGCTTGGGGGGGTCAACAGTGGGATGGCTTCTAATGTCCTGGCCCCACTGGTGGACCTCCTGATGGCACTGGTATTTCTGGCCACTGTGTGATACAGAGTGTTGGACTGGATGGGCCTTTGGCCTGATCCAACATTGGCATCTCTTATGTTCTTATGTTCTTCTTATGACTGGCTTTCGAGCAAGAGAACCTTTACCTTTACAGTAATAAAAAACTTTGTGTATAATTTTTTTTAGTGGGGGAGTCATTTGAAATTCAGCATCATCTTTCTTTTGGAGCAATATGGTCCTATGCAAAGTATCTAAACATATTGAAGCCTGCATACTTTGGCCAGGCCACAAAATGTTGCTTTTGTTTTAGTACCTGGCTCACTCCATGGAGATAGATCAAGATGGGTAGCTGTGTTAGTCTGTCTGTAGCAGGAGAAAGAGCAAGAGCCCAGTAGCACCTTAAAGATGAACAAAATATGTGGCAGGGGACGAGCTTTCGTGAGTGAACTCAGGGAAGCTCATACCCTGCCACATATTTTGTTAGTCTTTAAGATGCTATTGGACTCTTGCTCTTTTCTACCTGGCTCGGTATCTAATGCCACTTCACACATTACAGGTTGGGTCTGGATGTAACACATTTCAGACATGAGTGGCAGATTCTCCTTGATGGCCATGCTCTCCTGTGCCTCCTTTCCTTGCTATTGCCCCTACCCCTGCAATGGGTACTCAAAGGTATGCTGCCTCTGAACATGGAGGTTCCACTCAGCCCACCTGCCTAATAGCCATTGACCAACCTATCTTCCAATCAATTTGAATGATTTAAAACTTACAGGATTAGACAAAAGGGCCTTTTAATTGGGCAGCAGCCTTGTTTTCACCGTATCAAAGTCAATACACAATAGAACTGTGGAGCATATAGTTTACTGGTCAGAACTTTTTGATGGCTGCTACCAATGCTCCCTCTAAGCTGTGGAGTCTTGTGAGCAAAAATTCTACTTTGTGAGCTACTGGCATGAAAGTTGTGAGTGAGCGATTTGGCTCCTGCATAAATTAGTTTGCTCTGGAGCCATCCTTCCTGAGCTGAGACAAAAATGTGTGAGCCGGAGGCTAAAAAACTGTGAGCTAGCTCCCACTAGGGAGGGAACACTGGCTGCTACTGGCAAAGTTCCTAAAAAGAGACCTATGGGAAAGGAATTTTTTTCTACACTTGCTTGGCCGCACTCAAGCATCGTTATTCTGGGACTCAGCCCTTTCTATTAAAGCCGTCTTCATTGTCCAACTTACCATTTAGCAGGATGATGCCTCCAGCTATAGGCAGGCTCAGCTTCTGCGGATGAGTGACCAGGAAATAGGCCTGCAGACTGTACAGGAAGGGCACCCAAGCCAGGTCCCCGAAAGCCAGCATGAAGCCAAAACCCTCATGAACTATGTCCATGGTGGTGAGGATGGCCTCCTTGAGAAAAGAAACAAGGTGTGTTGAGGACAATTGGAGTGGGACTTAGCACAGTGGTAAATCACTTGCTTTACATACAGAAGGCCCCAGGCTCAATCCTGGACATCTCCAGTTAACAAAAGACCTCTCCCCGGAGCTGTTGCCAATCAGAGCAGACAATGCTGATCTTGATAGATCAATGGTCTGACTTGGTAAAAGGCGGCTTCATCTATTCAAACCCCCCACCTGGAGCAATTCATCTGTGTCGTCTTGTCCTCCCTCTCCACTAAGAATGCCAGCCTCCAGATGAGGTTATCCCTGGAATTACAGCTCATCTCCAGACAAGAGATCAGTTCCTCTTGGAGAAAATGGATGCTTTGTAGAGTGGACTCTACAGAGTTCTACCCCACTGAGGTCCCTGTCCTCCCCAGGCTCCATCCCCCAAATCTCCAGGAGTTTCCCAGCCTGAATCTGGCAACCTTACACCCCGTCCCCGTCCCCCTGGCAGCCCTACTCCCCCCACCCTTATTTTCATACACTCCAGTTATCCTTATTTTCTAGCACTCATGTAGACAAAAATCTGTAATAAAGTCAGCGCTGTCTCCAATCCTTGGTTGTTTTGAAACTGATAAGAGCAGAACTTAGGACTTCAAACTCTTTGTTCTCACAAAGATGGGGGGGGGGGCAGAAAGAACCACAAACGAACTCTCCCCAAACTTCCAGGCCAGCATGGATCTCTCACTGTGTTGAACCTACCTCATTCCAAAAGGCATCCACTACATAGAGCAGCTGGAAGGCATTAACAAGAATCATGGCCAAGGAAGGATTTCCCCTCAGCTCTGTCTCCTTCACTAACATGCCCATGTTGATCAGGGCCTAAGAGACAAGAGAAAAGGGAAAAGCTGCAACCACAGGATGTCTGTGGATGTCCATTTTTCTTCCATTATATCCCACCCATCATCACCAGATTGCTATTCCTTTAACCCCATGGTCTGTACAGCAAATTTAAGTAAAGCAACTGCTTCCTCTGCTGGCGGTTTAACAACAATGCACTTCAGCGCACTATAGTGCTGTTCAATTAACACCCACAAGTGTTAACAAGTAGGTGGCGTTTTTAATAGCTCGAAAGCAGTGGAGTGGGTTTTTTTTTTAATCCAAAAGCTACACAATTTTCAGTTTTGCACAGTAAAAACCAAGAAATGCATACAAATGACCGACATATGTTTTTGTTCTCCACAGGCTGCCTATTGGGATTGATAGCCACCTAAGAACATAAGAGACGCCAATGTTGGATCAGGCCAAAGGCCCATCCAGTCCAACACTCTGTGTCACACAGTGGCCAAAGATACCAGGTGCCATCAGGAGGTCCACCAGTGGAGCCAGGACATTAGAAGCCCTCCCACTGTTGACCCCCCCCAAACACCAAAATGACAGAGCATCACTTGCCCCAAAGCACCTATCTATACCTTGTGGCTAATAGCCACCGATGGACCTCTGCTCCATATGCTTATCTAATTCCCTTTTGAAGCCGTCCATGCTTGTAGCCGCCAAGCCATGCTTGTAGCCTCGAAGCAGGCAACTCTTGGGAGCCAGAAATCTTGTTAACATCTTTCCAAACCTCCTGGGTAGGCCCAAAGCAGCTCCACCCTTTCCTTGCTCTTCTTCCTTGCCCCGATATCAGCTAGAAAAAATTCTGTAATAAAGTCAGCTCTGTCTCCAGTCTTACTAACCTACTAACCTGCAATGCATCTCTTCTGTGAGTCTCTGCCTACATGCCAGCTTCCCCAATATAGCAGCTCTCCAGGATGGTCAGGAAGACTGGGCAGCCGGTGGTGCTTAAGTCCCCTCTCCCAACACTCCACAGTCCTGACCCACGCACATCTGGGAATTAAGTTCTGAACATGGAACTCCCTGAGTACGCCTGGTCAAAAGTCCCCAGGGCAGCCACACGGGGCACATGAGGACATGGCAATGTGGGAACCAGCCCTTCATTATATAAACCCTCCTGCTTTCTCTTCCCACCACCTCCAGCATAGTGATACCTACCCATCCAAGGAGACCCGGGCGCAGCTCACAGAAAAACTTAAGGTCAAAGGTACCGATGCGTGGGTTCAACTCGTGGCCTATGAAGAAGTCATAAATGGGGTTTCCTGTGGAGGGAAGAGGCAGGGGAAAACTGAGGATCAACACAACGCTTCAATACTTTTCTGATACAGCCCTCTTGGCAGAGCTTTTTTTTCCCCCCTGGAATGAGAAAATGTGAGCCATTCTCAAAAACAAGACGGAGAACATTTCAGGCGCCCAGGAGAATCCACTGCAGCCCCCAAAGTCTCCGTGCATCAAAAACAACAGCAACCACCCAGACAGACACACGCTTCAGAAGAGAGGCTCCAATGTGAAGCTGCAGAACTAGAAATTCATTAACAAATTCAGTTCTCTTGATCTGGGGCACAACAGAGATTGGAGATGTCTTTTCCAATCAGTTCTTAAATCTTATGTCTGTAGAGCAAGAAACCCTTCAGGCAAGTCCTTCCCCACAAATTCCTTCATATATGGGCTTTATAGGGAAGTCCAAAGAGCCCCCCTCCCTTATTGGGTTTCACGCGGACACTTTGGTCCCTTTGAAGTGACACACGAGATGCCATGGAACCTAGAGCTCACCTGAATTCCCGCCTGGAGCCAGCCCTGTCCCAGGGGCGAGGAGGGCTTTGAGGTAGAGGAGGATGCTGAGTCCAAAAGCAAGAACAGACGCAGAGAAGGCGAGCTGTAGCAAATGGTCGTATATGTAACTGAGGCGCAACCCTGCAGCCATGCCGACCCCCACCAACAACGCTGTGATCCACATGGCATGTATCCCTGCCAAGGCAAAAAAAGGGTTTAGGCAGACACAGAACTGGCTGTCCTCCTGAGGCTGTCTCAGGTATAGATATGAGCATGTGCAGCTGCCTTCCGCTGCCAGTCCGAATAGGCATGGGTGACCTTGGATAGACCAACAGTCTGACTCAGAATAAGGCAGCTTCTTCAACATGGTAAACAGAAACTATATCTGTAGCCAGGTATAATTGTGGGAGAGGGCTAGACAGTGGTTAAGAAGGGAGTTACAAGCATGAAGTGCTGAAGGGGAACTCCTTAGGTGGAAAACAGTTAGGAACACAGTGCTGGAGCACAAGGGACCTTGGTCTGTTCCAGCACTCTTCCATGATGACATGAGGAACAGGAAAGCAATATTAACTGGACTATTCCCTGCTTGTAAGGAGAAAATATCATATGTATCCAGGGCTCTTTTTGTAGAAGAAGCCCAGCAGGAACTCATTAGCATAATAGGCCACACCCAACAGCAGGAACTCATTAGCATATTAGACCACACCCTGACAGCACAGCTCATTAGCACATTAGGCCGCACCCTCATGTTACTAGAAGTGTGGTTATCCAGCCATACCCACCTTTTGCTTGTTATTCTGTTTACCTTGTTTGTTGTCAAAAACCAGGGCTTTTTTTGTGGCAGGAACTCCTTTGCATGTTAGGCCACACACCCCTAATTTAGCCAATCCTAATGAGTTCCTGCTTTTGGGTGTGGCCTATTATGCTAATGAGTTCCTGCTGGGCGTGGCCAACTTGGGAGCCAGCCGGAACTTCGTTCCTGTGCGTTCCTGCCCAAAAACAGCCCTGTATGTATTATTTTGGGGGCATTAAAGTGGTATTTGGCTCCAGGTGACACACAGGCAAACAAAGCTCATCAAATATCACACAGTCACTGGGCCCCCTTCCCAAACTCTGCCCCCAGATCTCTAGGAATTTCCTAAACTGGAGTTGGTAGGGTTGCCAGGTCTTGGTAGGAAAATATCTGGAGACTTTGGGGGTGGAGCCAGCAGAGGGCGGGGTTTGGGGAGGGGAAGGGCCTCAGCATGTTACAATGCCATAGAGTCCACCCTTCAAGGATGCCATTTTCTCCCGGGGCGCTGATCTCTGTCAGCTGGAAAGCTGTTGTAAAAGCGGGAGATCTCCACCTGGAGGCTGGCAACCCTAGGAGTTGGCAGTGCCCCCGCCTCCAGAGGCGAGGCAGATAGCAACCAAAGAGAGGGCTCTTTCAGTAGGGGCTCTTTGCTTCTGGAATGCTCTTCTCTTTGAAGTTCACCTGGTGCCTCTGTGGCTTTCTTTTAGACACCAGGCCGAAACCTTTCTGTTCAACCAAGCTTTTAATTAAGGTGTTGCTCTTTAAAAATAATTCAATAGTTTGCTTTGAGACTGAAGTTGTTAAATTCATTTTAAGCTGCTCAAAAGCTGGGTTTTTTAAAACCTTGCAAAACATTGCTGTAGCCACTAGATATCGCTTCCCTCCAGGACTGCCCCCCCCCCCCCCCCCCCCCAACTCAGATCATGGGTTCTAGCATGACCTCCATTTTCCAGGGGTACCCACCGTTAATACGGTACGTGAGCCGGCTCTTGTCTCGAAGAACAGTCCCTTCAGTGACCTGTTAAAAAATATACAAGATGGTGAAGCAAGGAGAGCTTTATTAGCGGCTTTGTTTCAGTAGTGTGGCCTATCTTGTAGAAGAGAAATATCCCCCCCCCCCAAAAAAAACATACAGTTTGTGCAGTCCACTTGCTAGAGGACTGATCTTAGAAACCCCAAAAAGTGCCGGGTTCAAATGTTACTTCCACCACGGCCTCCGTGTTGTAGCCTTAGAGAAGCTGTTAGCACACCCCCACAAACCCGTGAACACGTATTCAGACTGCAGTTGGGAATTAGCTTGCATGTTTGGGCAGGGAGTGGAAAACTGGGCTCTTTTACCTAGAGAGGTGGCAGAGAATGGCAATGATACATTTTTATAAGATGGAGTCAACCCAGTAAACATTGTCATCAGATTTTGGCACACTGGAGGGAAAAAGGAAGATTTTAAAAAGGCATATATGGAGTTTTTCTAGGGACCTGGTACAACAGTTGGGGGAGGGGGAGCTTATCCAACCAAATACCAGCACATACTAAATCAAAGCACAGACCAGTGTTCCCTCTAAACTGAGTTAGTGTGAGCTAGCTCACAGTTTTTTAGCCTCCGGCTCACACATTTTTGTCTTAGCTCAGGACGGATAGCTCCAGAGCAAACTAATTTATGCAGGAGCCAAATCGCTCACTCACAACTTGAATGCCTGTAGCTCACAAAGTAGAATTTTTGCTCACAAGACTCCACAGCTTAGCGGGAACATTGGCACAGACAGTACATTTCTCATCCAAATGAACAATATAACAACAACAAACTGACCAGAAGTACTCCAATTTGGAACAGGAGTTACTTTTAAGCTAAAGGTGTAAATGTGGGGGAAATGGGGAACAGGACAGAGGAGAAGTGGAATCTGTTGGCACAGAGGAGTCCAGATGTGAGGCCTAAATAGCAGAGAGGAGCAAAATGCTCACTTTCTGTGTAGCACAGTGTGGGTTAGAAAAAGGGAGATGGATCAAAATGAGGAGCAAAGATATACCTGTCTTAGTCTGCATAGGTATCAGATGAAAAAAAGGAAGGATCCAGTGAGTTGGGAGCCTGAGTTGCAGTCCACTTTGTAGCCAGGATAAGACTCCTGGTTCAGACTCAAATTACTAGCTCTAAAGCCAGGCTAGTTATACTGGTTTTGGCCCATAGGATAAAATAGGTTCTTTTCAGGAAACAAATGACTAAAGGAATACTTGGGAGCTGGGCAATTTATCAAGAGAAAACTATAGAACTGATTAAATGGTATAATGGAAGGGCAGCAGGAAGGGAAGTTTTTGACTGAATTATAATTCAGAATTACAGGCCTGGAGGCATGAAGCCCAGTCACATGACATGTTCGGGACAATGGGAAGATTTGAACTGAAGGTTCCAGGCTGTCACAGGGCTTTTAGTGTCTGAATTGTGATAATGGTCAGTGATTGCATGACAACTTTGTCTTCTAGCCTGGTGGTGGCCAATTGCTTTCCGCCCTGTTGGCACTCCCTGATTTCTCCCCAAAAGGCTTCCTTGGAAGCATTTGCTGCGACTGTTCCTGCAAGATCCTTCTTGAGACACAAACATGGTGACTGTTTTCCAGGGCTTTTTTTGTAGAAAAAGCCCAGCAGGAACACATTAGCATAACAGGCCACACCCAACAGCAGAAACTCATTAGCATATTAGGCCACACCCCTGACACAATCTCTCATTGGCATGTTAGGCCACACCCCATGTTGCCACCACCACCTTTTGCTTCTTATTCTGATTACTTTGTTTCTTTTCAAAACTCTGGGCTTTTTTTGTAGCAGGAACTTCTTTGCATGTTAGGCTTCAAGTTTCATTTATTGTCTTAGTCATTGGCCATAACAGCACAAAGTAAATCAAAGCACAACAGAAATATACATCAATAACTTGCAGTAAGTCCTAGACCCCGTCTTATCTTTTTTGCCGCCAGTGCAAACAAAGCCATTCTGCTAGTAACATGTGCATCAGTATCAGAAAGCAAGAACACGGTCAAATCCTGCTCAGCAGTTCCATTATACAGAGGTACAATAGGATAAATAAACCTTTGCCTAAGTGATTCGTGCCATAAACATCTCAGAATGTAATGCTTGACATCATCCACTTCATCCATACCACATAGGCATATTCTAGAAGCGGCAGGGGCACCCAGAAAGCGACCAATACAAACCATTGAAGGTATGGCATGGAACCTTAGGGCAGTAAAAGCCCTTCTCAGCTCCAAAGTAGTTAGTTTCTCAAGATATACAGTCCTACAATGGTCTCTTTTGAAGATCTTATACAAGGGGGCTGTATGGCAACTTACTACCATATGTCGATTCAAAAGCCCATCCTTATTAAATACCCATTCCTTCAATTTAGCCCTTTGGGTTTCATTTACCAATAGGTCATCAGGGATTGAGTATTTCAATAAAATAGAGTTCAAGTAATCATCTGATCTTTTCGAGGATTTCAACAGCAAACCAAAACTTTGAACACCTAGAATATCCTGAGGTCGTTCTAAACATTTCCTCCAATACGAGAGGATTCTTACATTTGCCCTGGCTTTCAGGGATACCATACCCAGTTCAGCCCTCATCAACGCCACAGGTGAACCTTTGGGTAAGACCAAAATCCGCCTCATAAAATAATTTTGCACTGTTTCTAGCAGGGACATGCATGTTAGGCCACACACCCCTAATGTAGCCAATCATCCTGCTGGGCGTGGCCAACTCAGGAGCCAGCCGGAACTCTGTCCCTGTGCGTTCCTGCCCCAAAATAGCCCTGCTGTTTTCTATGCTCTGTGCTTGCCTCATGAGACTTGCTCACTGTGTTGCACATGCAATACATACATTCATTCATACATTCAGGCTAGGAATGAACGGTGTGCAGATGAAGGGGGGGCTGGCAACATATTCACTGCAAGCCAGTCTCAGTTCTCCAAGTCTGTAAACTGGGAAGGAAGATGACTAGCATCATCACAATATATTGGTTATTATATTTGGCATTAAACTTTCCTCCAATTAACGTAGAGCAAAGGGCCCTGCAAAGTAGGCTAGGTTTCAAGCAACTTGCCTCAAATACCTATGGTTGTCAGGTCTTACTGGCTTTGTGGTGGGGGACTCCCGGCTCTGAGCCTGGATCTTTTGGCACGCACGCAGTGATGATATCACCTGGAAGTGACGTCATCCCACTGGGCATGTCACACAGCGATGCTCTAGCATTTTGACAAAAACTCTATGGTTACTGTTAAATACTGGGTTCCATGAATGAGCTTGCCCAGGGGGTAGTGGCTCAGAGGGACCTTGAAGCAAGGACCTTACATTCAAAAATTCAGAACATAACCCTGACCTGGATAGCCCAGGCAAGTCTGATCTTGTCAGATCTCAAAAGCTAAGCAGGGTGGACTCTGGCAAGTACTTGGATAAGAGACCTCCTTGGAATACCAGCAGTCAGGAGGACAGGGGCCAGGCTTTATTCAGCCACCTCTCTGAATATCCTCCAGGCCCCCAGTAGGGGTCAGTCACCAGAGGTCGCCATGCACATACATTCACATGTGTGCACACACACACACACACACACACACACAGAGGAGTCATTTCCTATAGGAGCGCACAGGAGCGGAGCTCCGGCAGTAAAGAGCCCAGGGGGCGGGCACATGCAACAAGCCCCACCCCCTGCTCCCAGCAGCCCTCAGTCAGAGCAAGAAGAAGCCAGGTAAGTTGCAGAGCTCCCCCCAGCCCCCCGGTCCAAAACAGTCCAGTGGCACCTTTAAGACCAAGTTTTATTTAGGTACAAGCTCTCCCTCCTCTGCAAGGACAGATCTGCACGTTCCTCCCCCCCCCGCCCCCAATAGCTAGCAATCCAAAACAGTCCAGTGGAGCCTGAGCGGTGGGTGTTGCCTTCTGACACACTTCCAGTGATGTTAGGGGGTGTGGCATATGCAAATAAGTTATGCTAATGAGTTCTGCTAATAAGCTCCTGCACCTCTTTTTCTACCAAATGACCCCTGCGCACAGACATGCACATATGAAAAATACAAAAGAGACCCCCCAAGAAAATTCAAAACATGGAAGTTTCTTTATTAAAACACTTTCCTTCTGTTTCAGGGTGGCTTGCGATAACGGTTAAAACATTTTCCGCTGAAAAGCAAACATAACGTTGTCTTACCTTCCCCAGAGGGAGCATGTACAGCAGAGCCTGCAGCCCTACCCAGGCTAAGACCAGCACAAAGTCCTGGGGGTTCCATAGGGAGTGGAGCGTGGGCAGAGGCCAAGTGAAGTTCAAGAGACTGGCCTGCTCTGTCCCACACGTCAGTAGCAGGACGAAGACGGTGGCAGGCAACAGGATGAGGAGGCAGGCAGCCCCTGTGACAAAAAAGGAGGAGGGGAGGGTTAGAAAGGAGCAAGACGTAGTGCCTTGGGAAGGGAAAGTCAAGGAAATAACAGAACCCAGCTTTGTCAGCTGGGAGGCAACAGGATCAATATTCCAGACAGGGTTGCCAGCCTCCAGGTGGCAGCTGGAGATCTCCTGGGATTCCATCTGCTCTCCAGGCGACAGAGATTAGCTCATCCTGGGAAAACAGTCGCTTTGGAAAACAGTCTCTATGGCATTCTATCCCATTGATGACCCTCCCCCCCCTCAAACCCCACCCTCTTCAGGCTCCACCCCCAAAATCTTCAGGCGTTTCCCAACCTGGAGCTGGCAACCCTAATTCCAGACAAAAAATTTTAAAAGGTATTTTTATTCCCTAAGACAGCTACGGAGGGCTCAGAGAAACCTAGAGGACACCCGGGCTCCTTGTCTGTTTTGTCCCCCTCCCCCCCATCCTCCAACCACTCCAAAATTTCCTCCTTACCTAGAACACCCCCGAATTCCAGTTCTTTGGTGCGGGGGATCTTGTGTCGATCCATGGTGCTCTTGTCCAGGGACCAAATCCGCTGTTGGGAGTGGGCAGTGCTGCCAGAGAGCCTCCCCCCCCCCCCGCACTTGGTTTTAAGTCCTGTGTATACTCAGGGGGGTGTTATTCACGAGCCACGTGCCTGTGGAAAGAATCCATTTAGACCAAGTTGTATTTTTCTTCTTCTTGGGTACCCCGTTAAGCTCTCTTCATGTGAATTAGTTACCCCTGGCTAAGGCCCAACTGTCCTTACAATCGTCAAGAGGATTAGAACTCCCTCCCTAAATTTAATTCTGTCTGACAGACAGTGCCTTAAATGAGGGCAGAGGGGTAATTTCACCCAGATGCTTTTCTTCTTTTAGAAATGAATCACCAGAGGAACATGCACGGAGCCCCTTTTCTCTCTCACTGCTGAGTAAACTACAGCCAGCCAGCTGGCTGGGCCGGCCTTCCTACACAATTGGGATTATTGGCTAGTGGCTGGAATTCAAGAGCAGAGGGTCCAGCTTTCAAACCGGTGTTGAGAACTGTCTAATGTCTTTGCTTGAAATGAACCATGATAAGATTGTTGCTGAGCACACGCAGAGTGCTCCTACTTTAATGAAATCAAAAGAGTTTTCGGCTAAACATTAGGAAGAACCTCCTGACATGGTTCCCCAGTGGAACAGGTTTCCTCCGGAGGTGGGGGGGGGGCCCTCTCCTTCTTTGGAGGTTTTTAAGCAGAGGCTAGATGGCCATCTGGCAGCAGTGCTGATTCTGTAAATTCAGGCAGATCATGAGAGGGAGGGCAGGAAGGGATGAGTCAGTGCTTGGCTCTCACGGCCCTTACTTACATGCCCAGTGTAATACCGATTGCCACTTTGGGGGCAGGGACATTTTTTACTCCAGGCCAAATTGGCCCTGGGATCCTGGAGTTTTTGTGTGTTTGTTTGCCTTCCTCTGGACATAGAGCAGGGGTCACTGGGAGAGGGGGGGTGGGTAGCTGAGAATTTCCTACATTGTGCAGGGGGTTGGACTAGATGACCTTTTCCTTCTTATTAAACCCTATAGGTCCCAAACTCAGCAAAAGCAGGGTGTTTGTTCATGATAAATACCCCAATGCAGAATATATATTTTCAGTATCAGCAAATCCCAAGTATGTTTTCCTTCAGCGTTCACGCCCTTTGGGCACTGAGTGTAGGAGATTAATACCTGCCCCCAGGGGTCGTTTCGTAGAAAAAGAGCTAGGGGAGCTCATTAGCATAACTCATTAGCATATGCCACACCCCCTGACATCACCGGAAGTGTGTCATAAGGCCACACACCCCGCCCCCAATGGTCCCGGCCACCGCTGCCGGCCTTGCAGCTCCACTGCCGAGCCCCATGAGGGGCCCGGCGGTGGACCTGCAAGGCCGGCGGGAGTGCGAGGAAGCCCCGCGAAGGCCCTCCCTGGCCCCAGGCAGGCAGGGGTGGGGAGAGGCAGGGAGGAAGCAACTTACCCTCCCTCTTCTCCTGCCTCCTCCTGGCTGAATAAGGGCCGGAAGCGGGGTGGCCAGAAGCAGGAGGCGGGGCTTCATCATGTGCCCCGCCCCCCGTACCTCATCCGGGGGAACTGCGATCCCCCGCGATTCCCCGCGAAATGACCTCTGCCTGCCCCTAGGTCGTCTCATGAGCTGTTTAATAGAAATTCACCAGTATCCAGCCCCCCTATTTCCAATACCAGGATTCATCCTTGAAAGTTGCACTTAATATGTGAAGCTGCTGTCTACTGAGTCAAGTAATGGGGTCATCTAGCTCAGTATTCTCTGCTCTGGCTGCAGTTTTACTGGTTCCCAGGCAAAGAAAGTGTCCCCCCCCCCCCAATATCGAAGGTCCTGTAACTGAAAGTACCAGGAACTGAACAAGGGGGTACCTTCTATGTGCAAAGTATTCACACTACCACACTACAGCCTCTTCAGAGGTGCATGCCCACAGTGACTCTGATCACGTTGTCAAGTGCTCATTCTTGGATTAAGGATCCCAGCCTCTCCACTTATGTTCCCTCTAAGCTGTGGAATCGTGTGAGCAAAAATTCTACTTTGTGAGGTACTGGCATTAAAGTTGTGAGCAAGCACTTTGGGTACTGCATAAATTAGTTTGCTCTGGAGCCAACCTTCCTGAGCTAGGACAAAATCGTGTGAGCCGGAGGCTAAAAAATTGTGAGCTAGCTCACACTAACTCAGCTTAGAGGGAACACTGCTCTCCACACACTTTTGGTCATTTTTGCAAAAGAAGCGCCACTTTGCCTATCTGCCCTAGTGGAGAGATCATGCCAATGACTTGCCCTGATTTGATGTTTCCAGTCTTATGCACATATCAAATAAGTCTCATAGAGAGCCAGCATGGCAAGATCAGCAAGTAAACCTAAGCTTCATAACTTCTTTGATTCACAATCCAAACTCGGTCCTGACATGATTTTCATTCAAAGTATCACTTCCAGGTACCCCCCTCCCCCGCCAAGCAGGGTTCTGGAACGTTTATGACTTAGCATTAAAAGCACACTGGATCTGGATTTGCCTCGGCCCCCGTTTTCTGTCTTCAGCAGTGGGTAGCCAAGAGAGCCCCAGCCGGGAAAGATGGAGATGGCCACAATATCCCCTCTTGCTGTCTGACTCCAGCATCTGAAACTTGGTGGGGGGATACCCTGCCCTTTAAGTGCTGCAACTCACCCCCTCAAGCAGTCATGGGCTTACCTGTATGGACTGCAAAGGACTCAGCTATGTTCCTGGCTGGGGACCACCACAGGTCTCGCTCACCTGTTTGTCAACCAGCGTTCTGTCATTCACACCAAACCAGGGTTGCGGCAACCCCCACTCTGCCCATCCTGTCCCTATCCGGGAGCAGCCAATCGCATCCTAGGAGAAGAATGACATCTCAGGCTGGGGGAACCTATCACGAGCCGGGGGGGGAGTGTCTCTCGCAATGCTGCTGAATTCAGCTGCCATTCCGTTGCATTCATGATGACCTGCAAGGTTTGCAGAGGAAAGACAGAGGCGAGAGACGCCTGAAGGAGCCTGTGGGGTCGATGCTGGGTCTCAACCCTGCAACGCGCAAAGGAGCTGGACGAAAAGAGTGCATCTGAGCCTGTGTAGAATGGAGTCCAGTGGGCACTTTAAAACCTTAGACAAATTTCTTTTCAGAATAAGCTTTGTCAGCCAGAGCTCCAGATACATTAAGTGTTCAACAATTGGGGCTGATTTTATACACAGAAAGTGGGAGAGGGCATGTTAAAAAGAGAGACTGGTGTAATACGAGATCCAGTCGAAGGAGTAATTCATTCAAACAAGTGGGTGTGAAACTTGAAACTAACCACAACAAAGTAGATGGAACACACAAACCAGGCTAATTTAGAATGAGACAGGATAGTGGAGTACACTCTTCTGGCAAACTCTGCAGTTTTGTGCATGAATTCATTTATTGTTTCTTGGCTGTGCAGTGTTGGCACATAACATATTCTTGCTCTCACTCCCCCCCCCCCCCCCCCCAATTTACAATACCGCCACGTACTCCTTGATATAGAGGTGCAAGATCTGAGAAGACTGGCGCACAGACATTGCTCTCCCATGAGTATGGGACTTTTTTTTAGCCACATTTCCTCAGGATACCTGGCAAAACTGATTCAGCCCCATCTTCGTAGGGCTTTCATGCTAGCACGGTTCGACGTCCTTCCCTCAGCTGTTCTATCGGGAAGGTTCAAGAAAATTCCCTATAAAGATAGATTGTGCCCCTGTGGGATGGGGGAAATTGAATCCATTGGACATGTGCTATTGCACTGTAAATTACACTATGACATCCGTGTTGTTTATATTGAACCTGTGTTGCACCCCCTTTTGGGCCAATCTGATGAGCATAAAATTAGTTCTTTATTGTCTTCGCATAATATAGAAATTCTGGAACCTGTAGCAAATTTTTTTTATGAGGTAACTAGGAGGAGAGGCTCATCTTAAGGCAATTCGGAATGTGATACCCCTCCAGCCTATCTTGAGGCTCTGCTGCATGTGTATTTGATATTTTATGCCAATAAAGGTATTGTATTTGTATTTGTAATACCGCCACGCAGCTGAAGAATTAGGCTCCTGTGCCCCCCCCCCAGGAGACATCATAAGAGGTTTCCATTGGCAGCAGAGTCTAGGGATGCCAGCCTCCAGGTGGGACATGGAGATCTCCGGGATTTATAGCTCATCTCCAGACTACAAAGATAAGTTCCCCTCGAGAAAATGGGTGCTTTGGAGGGTGGACCACACTGAGGTCCCTGTCCTCCCCCAGGCTCCACCCCCAAATCTCCAGGAGTTTCCCAGCCTTGATCTGGCAACCCTATCCCCCCCCCCCGGTGAGGAGAACCTGGCAACCCTATTGCCAGAGACTCGGGCAGATGCAATGGTACACCTTAGGTGCCACTTTATTGAAATCAAAACCTCAAGGGGCTGAACTACGGCAAGCAGGCGCACACTGCTCTGGGGCAGTTTTATCAGGCCTGCCCAGGTCTTGTAGAAGGCTGGCAACCTACAGGTGGCACTTGGAGATCACCTTTTATTACAGCTGATCTCCTCCAAGATCAGTTCCCGTAGAGCAAATGGTCGCTTTGGAGGGGGGATTCTATGGCTGGATCGAGGCGGGTCGGCACCAACGTTCCCTCTAAGCTGTGGAGTCTTGTGAGCAAAAGTTCTAGTCTGTGAGCTACCGGCATTAAAGTTGTGAGCGAGCGATTTGGCTGCTGCAGAAATTAGTTTGCTTGGGAGCCATACTTCCTGAGCTAAGACAAAAATGTGTGAGCCAGAGGCTTAAAAACTGTGAGCTAGCTCACACTAACTCAGCTTAGAGGGAACAGTGGTCGGCACTACTGTTGTTATTAGATCTAATGGCAGCTGTTGGTCCACCCACATAGGAGTCTGGGGGCACATCCTTGAAATGGCTTACCTCCTTCCTCCAGGGTCAGGGACAGAGGGTGGTGCGAGGAGAGAGGATATCACCCTGACACCCCCCTGGTGTGTGGGATTCCACAAGGAGAGATTCCCCCCTCAAGTTGATTAACATTTATATGTGCCCCCTCGCTCAGCTGGTGTAGCATTTTGGGCTGAGTTGTCACCAGTATGCTGATGACACCCAGCTATATCTGTTGGTGGGCGGCCAGGTAGATACCGTCCTGTCAAATCCGGCTGATGGGCTGGATGCTGTGTGGTTGAATGGCTGAAGCAGAGTTGTCTGAGCCTGAATCCTTTGGAGGTCCTGTGGCTTGGGAGGGGCGGTCCGAGGTTGGGGTACCACCTCCTGTGTCTTGACAGCATGCTTCTAACACTGGCACCCACTGTCAAGAGTCTGGGTGTGGTTCTGGATGCCTCCCTACCTATGGAGGCCCAGATCACAAAGGTTGCCAGACTGGCGTTCTTACAACTGCACCAAGTCAGGCAACTGGCCCCTTACCTCTCCCGTTCTGACCTAGCCGCAGTGATCCATGCAATGGCCACCTCTAGGATGGATTACTACAACTCGCTGTACTTGGGGCTACCCTTGAAGAAACCTGAGGATTACGGCTTGCCCAAAATGCAGCTGTACGGGTGCTTATGGTCACTCCAACAACAGCACATATCTAGCTAGTGCTTCACCAGCTGCATGGGCTCCAAGCTGAGTACCAGATCTGCTTCAAGGTTCTGGCTTTGACCTATAAAGCTCTCCACATTCAGGGACCAGTGTAGCTGCAAGACCGCCTCTTCTGGTATATCCCCCAGAGAGCCTTGCGCTCAGTATCTACTAGCCCAAAAGACATCCAGCTATCCTAGACCAGAGCCAGGGTTTTTTTTGGCCCTGGCTCCTGCCTGGTGGAACTCTCTACCTGGCGATATCCATGCCCTACAGGACTCGAGACAGTTCCGCAGGGCTTGTAAAACAGAGATGTGTGCCACCAGGCCTAGGGTCGAGGATAGCAACGGTTTACCATCATATCTGGTCCCGATCTCCCCACCCTGTAAGAGGAACTAATAATGACTTATGCCATCAGAATGTTTTTAAGATTTAATTTAAATCAGTTTTAGACTGGATTTTATATATGCCTGTGAAATTGTGTTTTAAAGTATGCTGTACACTGCCCTAAGCAGGGCAGTATAGAAATAAATAAATAAAATTATACCCTGCTGAGTTCACCCCCCCACACCCTCCCTCCCCAGATCTCCCCGCGAGGTTCCTCTCCTCTGCACCCTCTTGGCCTTTCCCAGCCAGCTTGCCTTCCTCTCCTCCCTGGCTCTCCTGCCATCTCCCTTTTTATCTCTGGGGGTCCACCTGTGTTGGCCAAGGCCAGCACCGCCCCTCCCTTCTCTGAGCCTTGTTCCTCTCTTAACCCCCTTCCAGTTTGGAGTAGTGGTTAAGTGGGCAGACTCTAATCTGGGAGAACCAGGTTTGATTCCCCACTCCTCCACTTGTATAGGGCTAGCCATGGGGGCCCTTGCTGTCCCCCATGCCTTGGGGTTGCTTGCCAGCCTCCAGGTGGTAAGAAACCCAAGCAGCAGATACGCGCGGAAGGGAGTAAGTAATACAAAAGATACAAGAGATCAAATCGTGCATAAATAACAAAAATATATATTCAACGATCAATGAGTATAATAATCTAAACCTATATAAATAGAGTAGTTTTTCAAAAACATAGTGTAGAAATCAGAAACTCAAAAGTACACGGTCCAAATACAAAAACAGTCCTATTAATACACCTTCAGAAACAGTCCAAGTCAAATTCCTCAAAAAGTGAATAGTCCAAATATAGACGTGAAGAGAAATTATTAGCAACTGTAGTTGGACTTGTTGAATATATTTTTCATTATTTATGCACGGTTTGATTTTTTGTGGTGGCTCATGAGGTGCTCTTCCGTGTCTTGGAGCATTTGCTGCCTTTTGCCCAGTAGATGGGGCTTTCTGTTGGCTTCTGTGCCACAGCTCCGTGCTCAGAGAGGCAATATATGTGATGAATGCTGGTTTCTTGGAGGTGAGGGAGACAGGTGGGCTATTGAGCACTGCGGATGTTCTACGTCTGAGCCACAGCCCCTCAGTAACATAGTTTGGTCCACCCCCCTTTTTTATTGCCTGTCTATATTTAACTGCGACCATGTAGCCCAGCTGGTCTCCTTTTAAACTCTGTATCGTGATTTTAAAAATGCTATGAAATTAATACATTTAATTGTCACGCATTCTATAATATAATCACGAAGATATTCTATATTGTTGCCATTATTAAAAAGGAAACACAACACGACTGTAGAGGATGTTTTTAGTTAAAAGAGTTAATTGATTTATGAATACATTTTATAGCCTCTCTCTCCAACAAGGGCTCATGGGGCCTTTTACAGTTTTCGAAAGGATTCTTGAGAACTTGTAAAACTGCAACAGAAAGTTATACAGTTCAGCAGTCACAACCTCAATATGAGCCAAACAGAGCAACGTAAATCAACAGCAGTTTTGCACAGTTAATATAACATTTATTTATTTCATTTCTACCTTTCTCACTGACACTTAAGGCCGACTACAACTAAAGAACAGTATAATACATACAACCAACACAGAATTAGAGCAACCCATGCTATGAGCACAGTGTAATACAGACAATACAGTGTAATAGGACTGGAGATCGATGCAGTGGAACATCAGATACAGCGGATGATTACAGAAATCAGAAAACAATGCAAACAAATACAGCATAATATATACAACAAAGTCTGCCTCAAGGGCCACTGACATCAACTACAACCTTATTCGCCTTATAAAAGTGCCCTTGTCAATCATTCTGTTTTATGCATTCTGTGGAATGATAGCAGTGTGGAACCCTTCCTGATTTCATCAGATGGGCCATTCCACCAGGTGGGAGCCATAGCAGAGAATACAGGTAGAGGATCTTCTTACCCATTTGATCTTACCCATTTGTAGGGTGGAAACGTCAAAAGGCTTTGCTCAGATGAGCAGCACTTGAGAATAACTCTGCAAACATTTAGAAACAGTCTTCCTGTCTGTTATGTTTTTACCCCACCTCTCCTCCAAAGAACTCAGGGAAGCATACTTGGTTCTCTCCTCCCTCATTTTATCATCACAACAATCCTGTGAGGTAGGTTCGGTTGAGAGATAATGACTGGCTCAAGGTCACCCAAAGGAGTTTCATGTCTGTGTGAGGGATCCGAACCCAGATCTGCCCTAATTTTGCACTGCCTTGTAAACAATAAGGTAATGGGGGAGGGTCACTTTTCAATGAGGACCAGCCACACATAGCCAGCCAATAGAAGGCCTATGGAAATTGCACCTCCGCTGAGAATGTGACACTGCATAGGATCTCAGGAAAAATACATATTTATACATATATTTAATTTATTTAAACTAGGGATGCCAGCCTCCAGGTGGGACCTGGGGATCCCCCAGAATTACAGCTCATCTCCAGACTACAGAGATCAGTTCTCCTGGAGAAAATGGATGCTTTGGAGGGTGGACTCTGTGGCCTTGTACCCCCACAGGGGCCCCTGTCCTCCCCAAGCTCCATCCTCAAATCTCCAGGAGTTTCCCAACCTGGATCTGGCAACCCTACCCCCCAACCATCTGCTGGTGGCTGGGCGGGGGACTTGGCAACCCTATTTAAAACAGCTATAGAGTGGTTGTCTGAGAAATAATGGCTTGGATCACACTGTAAACTTCCACAAACAAAAGGTGGGTTCGTAGTCTCCTCCCTCTATCAGCAGCCCCCCAATTCACCCCTCATGCTAATCCCCCACCACCAGGTTTAGCATTTGGGGGGAAATTTAGGGAGAATTGGATGGGATGGGGGGAGGTGAGGAAGCCCAGTTCTGCTGATGGAAATGCCTCCCTGTTAAGAGAAGATTTACCATAGGACCCATCTCAATGTCCATAGTAGACTCAATTGCCATTCTTCAAAGCAGACAGGCTGAAAGCTAGCTTTGAAATGTATTCTGTAGCTTGTGTCTGCCCTGAGAAGGCTGTGTTAAACTAGCCTCTGAGCATGAGCAGCGTGCAAATTCAAACATTTATTTTCCCCAGCGGCCAATTCAATTGCTGCAGCTTGTGGTATGGTGAGGAGGTGCTTTTACTACACATCACAGTTGTTGTGGAGAAACCAGGACAAGGAGACCCGTGTGAAAGTTGGAGTGGGAAGAACACAAGGGATCCCTGCGGCCACAGATCTTTTCGGTGCCATGCTGTTGCTCTGCAGCCAAGTCTGCAAGCTGGCAAGCCCACAGTGACAAAACAAGGTCAGTTCCTGCAGATCCAAGGTCTGCAGCAGAACCAGTGGCTGGAATACAGATGGGGACAGGGTCATCATAGAGTTCCCACGGAGGCTGAGGGTACGCAAAGACTGCAGGCCAAGGAATACTTCCTCTGGAAGTAAGGGCAGGAGGTTCTCAGAGAGGTCCAGAGTCTGCAGAGACACCAACCCCCGGAAAAGACCCTTAGGAAAGTCCTTGAGGCTGCCGAAGCTGAGATTCAGGACCGTCAACCTCTCTAAATGATGAAAGATGCCTGCACATTTCCCTGCTTTCCAGACGCCTGCCAGGTTGTTATGGGAAAGATCCAGTTCTCTGAGGTGTCTGGGGCCTTCTTGGATCCAGAAGCATCTTGCCAAGTGGTTGCTTGAGAGATTTAGAAAAAGCAAAGAGGGGATCTTCCCTAGCTGCTCCCAGAGCTGCCCCAGGTCACTCAGACGGTTGGAGGAGAGGTCAAGGTGTGTCAGGTTCTGGCTAAGATGCTCAATGCCCAAGGTGTCCCTGATCCTGTTGTGCCCCAGCATCAGACGCTGCAGAGATGGGAGTTTACCGTTTGGTACTTGGGAGAGAGCATTGTCCTGTAAGTCAAGGATTTGCAAGGAATCCAGCCCCACAAGGGCATCATGTTGAACAATTCCAATGTGGTTGGACTTCAGGATGAGATACTGGAGGGGCAATGACCTCAGACTTTTCAATGCTTTTGTGTACAACTCCCCAAGAAGGTTGTTGGATAGATCAAGAACATGCAGTTGATTCAGCTTGAGGAAGGCCCCATCATGGATCTCGGTAATCTTATTGAACCTCAAAAACAGGATGTGGAGATCTGGGAAAGCTGAGAAGACAGAGGGGGCTAGTTCATTTAGGAAGCCATGGGACATGTCAAGGGAGAAGGTGCCACTATCATGTAGCCCAGAGAAGGTCCTGGCCGAAATGTCCTCCAGGTTATGGAAACCAAATGAGCTTCCAATCGCCACTGAGTATTGCATCTTGAGGTTCTGGATCCGTGTGCCAGTTATGCTTGTGAAAAACTGTTCAACTTGCATTGCATCCCATGGATTGGAAGAGATGTCCAGGGTTCCCACCGTGATGTTGTGGAAAGGGTTGGTGCAGGTGGGGTGGTAGAGCAAACGGTTAAAAGACAGGTCAAGCAAGGCAAGATGGCGCCCTTTCAGGTTTTGTAGGTCATCCCCACAAATCCTCTCAATGTTGTTGAGTTTCAGCTGAAGGAAGCTTAGCCTTCTAAGCTGTTGAAAGGCTGGATCAGGCCTCAGTCTCTGGATGAGATTTCCAGAAAGATCCAGTCTCTTCAGGGACACCAAATCCTGGAAGTATCTTCTTTCCAAAACCTTATCATCAAAGCCATTAACATCCAAGAGTAATACCTCAAGCTTGGTCAGGCCTGCGAACGCAGCGGGGTGTAGCGTTACATTCATGTTGCCTCCAAGGTCCAGGAATGTGATACCAGCCACATTCTGAAAGGCCCTCTCTCCCACAAAGAGGGACCCTCCCAACTGCTTCCCAAGGGATAACATCTGCAGGGAATCCATTTGGGGCCAGGTAGAATTCAAGATGGTGGAGAAAAGGTTAAAATTCAGCAGGAGGACCTGGATGGTGGGATCAACTTTGGGAACTGTCTTGTGGCTTTGACCTTGGCAGTCGGCTACCAGTCGAAAATTTATCATGGTATGATGGCAGCGGTCTGGGACATCTGTGGTGTAACCCAAGACAGTCAGCGATAGGATGGCCATACAAAGGAGGACTGTAAATTAAAGAGAAGGTTATTTATTCATTTGCCATAATTATCTATGCGTACTAGTTCTATAAATTACAATTCCCAGAGTTCCCCTGATTGCTGGCAGAGTTTAGTGTCTGGCACCCTGTGGCTCGAAGACCTTTGTTTGACTTTTATCTTTACCATTAAGTCACTAGCAGTGCCATTCTAAGGAAGTAAATCCCAATGAACAGACTTGAGTAGGATTCTGGGAAGACCTGCTAAGGGACGGCACAGTAGCAAGGCCATCTTAAGCAGAGTTACGCCCTTCTTTTCCCATCCATTTCAATGGGCGTAGCCAGGGCTATTTTTGGGCAGGAATGCACAGGAAGGGAGTTCCGGCTGGCTTCAGAGTTGGCCATGCCCACTACAGCCAAAGCCTCTGGATGCATGGCTACAGAGGGAAGGCCTGGAGAGCAAACCCCCCCCCCCGGTAACTCCGAGGTGGGCAAGCCAGGGGGGCCCCAGCAAGGATCGGGGAGGCATTTAAATGCCTCCCTGTGCCTCCCCTGGCCTGTCCAAGGGCTGGCTTACCCAGGCTCCCTGCAACTGCGGGACACCCAGGCAAACCAAGGGGAGGCATGGAATGTGGCCTAATATGCTAATGTGCTGTGCTGTCGGGGGTGTAGCCTAATATGCTAATGAGTTTCTGCTGTTGGGTGTGGCCTATTATGCAAATGAGTTCCTGCTGGTTTTTTTCTACAAAAAAAGCCCTGGGCGTAGGAGTGTAGCAGGATTTTAATTATGTCACCAGTTTTCTTGCCGATGATGCATGTTTTCATGTAGAAGCGAGTTCATATCAGTTTCATCTACTGGTCAAACTGGTTGCATTAGGTTTTCTTTGATCTTGCACAGCTAATGAAAATGGTTACAGAAATACTAGATTCTGTTTAGAGCCAAACCATTCTGTTGGACTAGGATCTGGGAGACAGCATGTTTAAGTTAGAGTTGCCAGACCCCCTGGTGGAGGCAGAGGTCCTGGCCACCAGAGCCTGCCCCCCAGCTGTCGATCAACTGGCTGGCCGGGGGACTTACTGGGAACAAAAAAAGTGTGTATGTGTGTGGGGGGGGGACTTAACCCTGAAACCTAGGAACCAGAACCTAAAAAGGTAAGTCAAACAGAACAGAGGGCCAACAATAAAAACTTAATGTTTATAATATGAAAAGATACATGTGTTTATTAGCAAAGAATTAAAAAACATATAAGGGCCCAATCACACCTCATGTAAAAATGTGTATCTTACACACAAGGGCCAATGGGCTTGGCTTACCAGGCCATGTTGTTGGCATCGCACAGGAAGTGATGTCATCATGCCAGCAATGTCAGGGTGAGACGCTGATATTTCGGGCAAAAACTTTGGTAGAAGCTGTTTTCTACCATAGAGTTTTTGCCCAAATACCAGAGCAGCACAGTGTCATTGCAGTGTGATGATGTCACTTCCTATGAGATGCCAGCAACGTGGCCTAGACCGTCCTCTTTCTCCTGGTAAGTCCTCCCATCCCCCGCCATTTGCCTGGAAGGAGCCTTAGTTTGAATCCCCACTCTGCTGTGGAAGCACTGTGGATAGCCTTGCACAAACCATTCTCTTTCTCTGAGCCCAGCCTATCTCACAGGGCTGTTGTTATGAGGATAAAATGGAGATGGGGAGAACAATGTTGTAAACCTCTTGGGTTCCCATTGGGGACACAAGCAGGGTATGAATATCTAAATGAATAAATACTTGTGGGGTACACAAATACAGAATATAGCTGATAAGGTAGAGTATTTGGCAATCTCTCCTTATTATAATTGAATAGTGGGTGCCAAAGTTCTAAAATGCGCCCCGTTAGTGTATGGGCAAAAAAATTGCCACTCAGAAGACGCTGCATCCGATGACTGGCTCCCTCAGCGAACCTGGCCTGCCATTGGCTGGGTGGCTGGGAGGGGAGGGAGCCAGTCATCGCGGCCAGTGTCGTCTTCACGGGCCGCATTCAGTCCAGCCAACGGAGCTGGTAGGGTCCGCCAGCTTCCCCCCTCCCCGCGCCCACTCCAAAACGGCAGACGGGGCCTTCAGGCCCTGTCCGCCG